GGGAGACTGGCACTCGACTTATCGAGTCGCACAGTCGAATCAGGTCGAAGCAGACTAATAAAAAAAAAAAAAATAAAAAAAAAGAGATCATGGAGGCTGTAGGCAGTAGGCAGTTCCGAAAAGGGGCGAGGAGACGCATCTGTGCATGCCCAGCGGTATTCCCCCGAGTAGATAAATACCCACATCGATAAGCGCCACTGAAAATAACATGGAGATAACCAGACGCGTGGCAGTTGGCCAAGATAATTCAGCAATGCCTCGAAAACGAGTATACTGCGAATTTTCAAGAGTCCGTATTTATCCCGTCTGCACGATTGCATTATTTATTGCCGGATGCTTCTACCTTCTTTTTTTCATCATCGTATTCTCGGTGAATCGTTTGCTCGGAGAATGCAGGGGAAAATAAAAAGGAATGGAAGAGGAGAGGCGAAGAAGAAAGTCCGTAAATACGTAGGGCTACGTGCTGCTCCCGTGGTTCGAGGATCTCCTCTCTGTCTCGCGAACGGCCAGCGCTTTTCCTAATGTCGAAAGATCAATGCGCATGTCCCCCTGTCCCACCGAGACGGCACGAGAGCCACGAGAGCCACGCGACCCTTAGCCCCACTCCAGGGTCCAGCGTGTGTCACGACGCGAGGGGGGTAGCTGCGGCCTGGGTCCGCGTGGTGGGGCGTCGCGACGCGTGGCCCCACTGGTGGGGATTGGCCCGTGGAGTGGGGAGGTCCCAGTGGGTCCCTCGGGCAGCGCTTTCAGTTCTCTGCGAACAGCGCTCCGAGTCGCGTGCGGGTCGCGAGTTCTTCTTGCGCGTCACCCTTTGGATTATTTGGAATTTTAAGCGCGGTGCTGCTGCGTCAGTTGGTGGATTTATTTTTTTTTCTTTTCAACTCCCCCACCCCTCCGTCTAGCCGATTGATCAGCATCGCACATGGGGTACAGTGCGCGAGTCTCGTTCTCCCTTATTTTCTGGTGAATCATTTTATTTGCGCTGCGACAGAATTTCGGATGATTAACTGAACAGCCCTGTGTCGCCGTGCGAGCAAGAGTCAATGCTATTTTTCCTTTTTGTAAAGAGAAAAAATTGAGCCCTTGTTCAAAGGATGACGGCTGGGCTTGCTGGAATGTAGGATAGCTCGTGCCGTTAGGCCAAGTACGATCCTTGTCGACTGTAAATAGTCGTTACGAGTCCTCTTCTAGCTGATTAAATTAAAGTCGTTTACCTTAGGCGTACAACTGTGTGTCAAGTGAATCCGACAACGTGAAACGCACGGATAACTAGAGAGAGTGCCGAGTGCCCGATAAGCTGCAAGCAACTCTTGGTGATAATAGTGAAAACCGTGTTCACGTGGGCTCTGGATTTGTAGTCTGTGATTTTTCCCTGAAGCCACTCTTGGGGTCGCTTCGCTTTAGCTTGTCTACGAAGGAAAGAATGATTTTGTTCAGTGCGTCGCGACGAAGAACGATAGCGACAATAGCGACGGGAAAACAGTGCTCCTGATTCCGCGATGAGTGGATATTTACAACTTTTGTTCTTCACCCTTCAGCCGTGCGAATATGGTGCTGTGAAAGGAGGAGGGTGCCGGCGCAAGTGAAAACGCTAAACCCTCGAGGGAAATTCAGACAGACACTATTCCACCAGCCTGCGAGCCTCGACGCACCCCACGCACCCCACGCACCCCACGCACCCTTATTGGCAAATGGGATTCCGTTTCGGCGTAAGGGATGCACTTGACCAAGCGATGCACCGGCCCCGCTGCCCCGTCGAATCGCGAGACGTTCTTGAATCCGCAACAGCAGCCGTTCCCGTGCTTGGATAACCACGCCGGAGCCAGGAACATGGCCTGCAGGACAAGGAGGATCATCGGCAGCTGCAGCCGGTGAGTCTTTGGCCCCATATTCATTGCACTTGCACTTGGACGTCGATAGCGACGTCTCATTTGGACTCATTACGTGCCAGACAGATTGACGGATTAAACTTTTCATTCCTCGTCTCGTTTAATTGTCCGCACTTTTTTTATACGTGCCGCCACTATCGATTTCTTTCTGAACGATACGTTCGCCCTAACGAGGGCCAATTAAAGTCGAGTTGCCTCTTACCAAACCGGTCCATTCTCTCGCTTCCCTCCCTCTCCTGCTCTCCCCCTTCCCCTCTGAACTCCCGCAAGAAGGAACAATAAAAGCGAAACGTCTTCGAGTTATTATTTGGTCCTCTAATTAATGCGACCGAACCGTCAGCCTCTCGAACTCAGGCTCGTCTCAGGAGGAGCTGTAACGCGATTTCATCTCCCTGCCCTCCTACTCCCGATCTCGAATGGGATCGGGTGACATGTGTAAAAGTCACGTCCCTGTTTAAGCTCCCTCGTGCCACGCGCCAATGTGACTCTTTACCATTTGACGATCCGCGTAGGGCGCAGCGCAGAATCAGAGGTTGACTCGAGGGTGTCGCGGAGAGTGCTGGTGCCTCAACTTATCAGAAGATCATAATTTGTTCATGGACGACATATCCTCTGCAGAATTCGATGCTGCAACTTCGATCACGAGGATTAATTCTAGCCCCTAATTCCATTTTCACGTAAACTCTGTAACGCTGCTATCCCCATCGGTGCACCCCCCCCCCCCCCCCCCCCCCCCCCC